ATCCTAACAATTCTATGAGGGATACCTGGGTCTATTTTACAGAAGAGGGGAATGAGTATCCGAGAGATTAGTAACTTGTTCAGGGTCCCGCAGCTTGTAAGTAGCAGCTGGGCTGCAAACCCAGGACCCCTTAACTTCACAACCTATGTATTCCTAAGCATGCGTCTATGCTGGGCTTGTATCTCTTTGAGGATCTGATGACGACTACAGACATGTGCCCAGAAAACAGCCTTTGCACATAAGCTCCCAGACTTTGGCTTAAAATGTCAGGATTTGTGGACCCTGGGGTGGGAAGCCTGGAGAAGTGAGGCTCTGCAACCCTCTGGGGGGGATCATAGGGGATTCTCTAGGGAGGGGTCTTTGTGCTGGCAGATCTTGCAAAAGGAGTCAGAGGTCTTACAAGAAGAGTCAGAGGTCTCTGGGTGAAGGAGCAGCAGCAGGCCGGCCTCGGCAGCCTAGGAAGGAGGAACAGCCCACATAACGGCCCATCACTGGGTGGAGGGAACGAAGGAGCTGGGGGGCAGGGTGAACGCATCTAAGCAGTAGGCAGGAGCCAGGCCACGGGGAGCCTTGAACACCAAACTCAAGAGACTAGACTGTGTTCTAACAGCAGTGGAATCCACTCAAGTTCTGTGGTCATGCCAACACTCCAGAAAAATCAGTCTCCCAGCAGCTTGACAACCTCTGCGCAGTGGGTGGTGCCCCCACATAATTCCATGGAGATCACACCCATGCCAGATGTTTCTGCAGCTGGGCCAGAATGAGAAAAACAGCAACCCTCATGGGATGGGCAGGGGGATGCCAGCCCTTGCAGAGGCATTAAGGCAAGAGTACAGATGGGTTCTGGAGGCAAAGTGGCCTAGGTCTGAGAATCCTGCCTCTTTCACCAGCCACAGGACTGAGGCAAGACACCTCTTCTCACCGAGACTCAGGCTCCTCACCTGTAAAGGGGCCCTAAGACTCTTGACTCCTCCCCTAAAATATATTGCTGGGAGGATTGAATTAAAAATGGCAGGGAGAGAATCTGACACATAGGAGATGTGCAAGAAAAGCGCCTTCCACCCCCTCATGGGCACACATGACCAGGCTGCAAAGACACTTGCCACGTCAGCACATCGGCTGCTGTGGAGGCGGCAATCATGACCACCGTGGTGGCCCCTGTGGGTTTCTGCCTCTCTGAGGACATTTCTGGGCCTGGTCCTTCTGGGTGGGTTCCTCTGCATTCTTTTATCTCTCAACACATCTCAAAGCGGGTGCCAAAAGGGCTTTAAGAGGATAATGAGCTCATTAGAAGCTGGTGGGAAACAGGAGGAGACTGGGCCTTAGTGGAGTGAGAAATGAAGGAGCCCTATGGGGGCTGGGCATGTGGCAGGGGCTGTGCCCACCCTCCACTTTCAGAGAGCCCTGTCTTCCTGGGAGGGAAGGTGCCGGCTTGGACTACCCGCACTGTCCTGCCGGTGCTGGGGGTGGCTCATCTGGCAGAGGAGCTCCCTGGGATCTGAGCCCCCTGCAGGTGGGATGGTGTCCAGGAGGCCACAGCTTTATCCCATGTCTGGCACGTCGCAGGCCCCCCCAAAAACACTGGTGGAGGAGATGAATAAAAGGAGTCTGGGGACTGGCTTCCCCCTGGGGTTTACACCTATAACCACGACTTCACATCACCACCAAGACACTCAG